CGCTGCGCCGACCGGAGGCAGCGCGGAGGAGGCCCCACAGCGGCCGGCGACCGGGAGGAAGGAGCCGGAGCCGACCTTTCCCCGCCCCCGGCGCCGCTGCTCCCGCGCGCCCGGGGCCGCCGCCTCCCCAGGGCTGGGCGAGGAATGAGCAGGCGCCTGCCCCAGGCTCTCGGACCGAGGGGCCGCGGCTCGGCTTCTTCCCAGCGGCGGCCTCGCTCGCGGAGCAGGCGCCAGCGCTGACTTAACCGGCGGCGGGGAGGAGGAGGAGGAGCCGGGCGGGGGCCGCCGCGCCTCCCCTCCCCCCGCGCACGCCGGCGCTGCTCAGTGGCCGCAGGAGGAGGAACTTCCGCTCCTGACAGAGCCGGGCGGTAGCAACAGCGGCGGCGGCGGCCGCTGCGAGGGCCGGTATTTCGGACGCGAATGCCCTTCGCGCCGGCCGTCGAGCGGCAGCGTCGGAGCTCGCGCGGGGGCCCGGAGCCTGGGGGCAGCGTCGGGAGGCGCGGGCGTCCGAGACCTCCTGCTGCCTCTCCTGGCGCCGCTGCTTGGGCTTCAGCGAGGTGGGAGCCCTTCCTGCCTCCCCGTGGGCGGACCTCCGAGCAGACCCTTATATTTCCACCGCTGAGGTGAAGAGATCCTGGAATCGCAGCCGCAGAGGGGGTTAAGTGGACCTTCTACAACTCCTCGCATCCTCATCAGGCTCCCTTTTGGGGCGGGAGAGCACATTGGAGCATCTCGCTGGGTGCAGGAATGGAAGAACCCACCTTGCATCGTCTCTGCAGTGCTGCTTGCCTGTTCTACCCTTCAGAATGAAGAGGGGACTTGTAACTCGAGGAGGTACTGAAAGCCAAATGGCAAAGAAAATAGAACAGTAAACTAGTGATCGTTTGGGGGCCGCACGCGTTTCTGAATGTAATTGGACGAGCGTGAAAGAGGTGCCCTATTAAAAAAGCACAACAGTCCTTTAAGAGGAGAAAAATTGAGTTTCCCCATTTTTGCCAAGATTTTGAAGACCGTTCAATGTATTGTGCATTTGATATAAGATGAGAACTTTATAAAATATTCTAAGAGCGTAAACGATGACTACCCCAGCCCTGCTGCCCCTCTCCGGACGAAGGATACCACCTCTGAACCTGGGGCCGCCTTCCTTCCCACATCACAGGGCCACTTTGAGACTCTCTGAGAAGTTTATCCTCCTCCTTATTCTAAGTGCCTTCATCACCCTGTGTTTTGGGGCATTCTTCTTCCTTCCGGACTCTTCGAAACACAAACGCTTTGATCTGGGTTTGGAAGATGTGTTAATTCCTCATGTAGATGCCGGCAAAGGGGCTAAGAACTCTGGAGTCTTCCTGATCCATGGACCCGATGAACATAGACACAGGTTTGTTTATTTCAGAAGTTCTGGTATTAACATTTGGCAGAGCAAGGTATGGCTTATTGCGTCAAATCGGTCATTTTTTCCCATTGTAGTTTTGAATGTAATTTTCCCTGAGTTGTAAGAGTTGCATTGTTATTTCACAACTGAATTCTTCTAATTTGAGCAATGAAATACATTTCAAATTAGAGATCATTCAAATAATAAGTTTAAAATGTGAGACATAAAACATCAAACTAATGTATAAACATTAACTTATTTAAAAATAATTCAGAAAGATAGCGTTTTAACATGGTTGAATAGAACCATAAACTGAAGGACGCTTAGAGGCCCATCTTAAGTCCAGGTCCTTCGTTTTATATAGGAGAAACATTTGTGCTCAGAGATGTTGTGTCTGATGTGAAAAATTGGAAATGGAGATATGCAAACTTAATCTAAAGCAATAGGAACGTATGCTGTGCCTTCCTTTCTTAAGAATGTGTTGCATTCAGTCATTGTGCCACCCTGGGAAATAGATCCATAGAATCCTGACATCTCCTATGGGTTTGTTCTTTCCCAAAGGGCACTCATTCTCTGGCTTGTAGTTAAAGCTTAGTAGTGAATCTTAGCTTTTTAGGAAGACAAACATGAGGAGAATATACCTATCATTTCTTACCATGCAAAAATATCCTGATTTTTGTTATTTTCAGGGGATGTGTTTTGGTGTTCTTTACAGAATCAGTTAAGTTAAAAGATACCTTTGAATCTTAAATCATTTCACTTTGTGAGTCTTGTAGACAAGATTTGATTATGTTTTTTAATTTAATTTTGCTCTGATCTTTTTTTTTTTTAATGTGAAGAGATGGAGTGTGTCAAGTTAACTGTTAGAATTTGGTTGATTGAAGAGTTAGCATTCTTTCAAATCATCAAATCTGAAGTGAGCTCTTGGGAGAGTATACCCAAATTAGGATAAAATGGGAGCGCTAGTTACATTCCCTTTAAGTCATTTATGTAATTTGTATCAAAAGAAGAATTTGGGAAAGTACTCTACTTTTTGAAACCTACATTTTTTTTTTTTTTTACCTGTTAAATCTTTCCCCTTTTTTCTCTATTTCTTAAAATAATTTTTGACTATGTGAAAAAAATCATATACTTGAATTCTGTTTTCAACTGACTTTAGTTTTAACTTTTTATCAAGCACCAGGTTTTTGAAAAAGCTTAGCTTCAAATGTGAACAAAAGTTAAATACTTGGGAAAGTGCACTGTTGTAATGAAAGCCGGTTTTTCCTTTTTCTCAATCTAGTTAATTCATTATTTGCTTGTTGGTTCTTTGACTTTTGGCTGAACCTTATGGAGTAGTTACTTCTGAAATTGTTTCATACCATTCTCCTGTCACTAAATTAATATGGACCTTTTGTGATCTTTTTCAACTTGTGTACCCTTTTGCATTTGTTTCTTTTATTTTGCCCTTTGCTCTGTATGACTTCGAGAAAAATCTGACATGATCTGTGAAATATGTTGCTGAAAAATTAACACTGAAAGTACTGTTTTCCTTGAAAATCTTATTTCTCGTGGTCTTTGTAAAGCTATATAATATTTGAAAAAAAAGATGTAATCTAACGTTAAAATTATTTAACACTATTATAGTAATCTGTCATGTAGTAAACAGTTTCCTTTATATTTTAAGTGTGGTCTAAAGATTAAAAATATATGACAACATTCTAGTTTAAAAACATTCACATAGAAAAATTTTCAATTGAGTTAAAATTTAAATTTTGAGAGAAACTACAGATATATGTATTTTATTCACATTTTTAAAAGCCTACTTAAATCTCTTAAACAAGAATTCTTAAATTTATATAGCCCATGAATACATATGCTTGTGTATTGCTATCCTAAACTATTGGGTTCCTGAGTTGGGGGTGAGAGATTGGTTATTCTGATGGTGAGGGTTGGTGACTGAGCCAAATCCTGAGTTTTGGATAGTAAGAGTCCAGATAACAAGTGGTATATGTGAGAATTAATTCAAATCTGTTTGGTTCCTGAGTTTTGGAAAGAAAGAATCCGAATATTGTGAAAGTTCAGGTAGCGAGGGATGCCTGTATTATCTCTTTGCATATTTCTGTGATTGTATCAGTTTATTTTTATATTTGCTTAGTGTGTTATCAATTGTCGCTTACCATATCTGAAAACACAGTTTGTAGTGATAAGAATTCTTCTAATTTGAGCAATGAAATACATTTCAAACTGGAGATCATTCAAATAATCAGTTTAAAATGTGAGACATAAAATACCAAACTAATGTATAAACATTAACTTATTTAAAAATAATTCAGAAAGAGCATTTTAACAGAATTAGTTGGTACTAAGATCATACCTATTTTGGGTGTGGTCAAAAAATCTTTCTTAATTTGGAAAATACAAATTGATAATTTATATTAATTTTGTATGTGTGGAGAAGGGTGCAGGATAGAGGGATGAGGAACCTTCCTTTAATGCATAAATAATGAAAAATAAATCATGGCCATTATTTCTTAGTCACAATATTTAAGAGGTATTTGTTGACTGGCTTTTCTTTATTAATGAATTATTTTAGTATAGTAGTTAGGTGCTTACGCTCTGGAGTCAGACTGCATGGATTCATACCTTAGTTTGTTATTGATTAGATATGTGATCTTGGGCAAATTTTTACACTCTGTGCCTAAGTTGCTTCCTCTGGGTGACAATGGCACCTACTTTACAGATTGTTGTATTGAATGAGATAGTACATGCAAAGTGGTCAACATAGTTCCTAGCATTTAGTAAATGCTCAATAAATATTAGCTATTATTATTATCAATAATTATAGTTTTAATTGAATATTTTAATTCTGAGTCTGCTTACCTTTAAATACTGTGCATGTTTCTGAAAAGTTGGGTAGAGATTAATTAATATTTTAAAAGTACACCAGAACCTTATTGTCTAAAGGAACATTTTATAACCCAACCTAGTTAGCAACAAATGTGTATTGTATATCTACTGTGTGTCAGGCCCTGCTTTTGTGGAGCTTCCTATCTAGGGGGGATGATGGGCATTAAATAAATAAACTTATTTTTGAGGTGTGATGAGTGTTATGAAATTGTGCTCAGTGCTATTAGAGCACATAATGGTGTGATTTAGCCGGTGGGGTGAGGGGGTGGGGGGCAGTGGGAATAGGGAAGGGAAGGCTTCGTTGGGGAAGCAATGGCTCAGAAACTTAGAACAGGTAGGAGATCCATTGCTAAATGAAGTAGAGATGTGGGAGAAAGTGGTCAAAGCAGAGGCACAACATGTGTGAGAGCCCTGAGGTAAAAGAGCTTGGCATCGTTGAGGATCTATGAAATGTTCAGTATGCTTGGTGTCGAGATTAGTGGTGTGGCACTAGGTGAAGGCACTGGATGGGGGAGGTAAGCCTCCTTATTGTTGTTTGAAAAGTTTGAATTAGTTGCCAGCATTCACGTATCAGGAGATTTCACACGAAAGTCTGGATTTCTGATTTCTCTTGAAAAATTAGAGGATATGGCAACACCCAGGTCTGTATTTTCAGATGGCAACACTCAGTGGGATCTGGGCAGCAGCTACTCCGTCTAGAGGGGCATGTGCTCTTCATTTTATGCCACTCAATTAAGTTGCCAGATAAGTAAATCTATCTAATGAATGAATATTTAACCTGGTTGTTGTTGAGTTTGGAATCCCTAGGCAGGATCCTGGAGAGTTTGTAGTTAAGTATTTTGGTTTTTATCCAGGTACTATAGGAAGTCTTGAAGGGTTTTCATTAAAGCAAGGGAATGATATAATCGTTTTTTAAAAATTTAAATCCAGCATTTGCAGTGTAAATGCTGGATTGGCGAGGAGCCAGGAGGAAATGTAGTGAAAGCAGATGGGGGGACCAGGTCACAGAGGATTTTGGCTTAGACCAGAGCGGTGATAGTGGAGGAGAGAATTAGTGGAGAAAAGTGGAGAAAAGTGGTGGATTCAAGAGATGTTCAGCGAAGTTTCACAGAAGTTGGTGTTTGATTGAATATGGGGGCTAAGATAGGAGGAGGGAGGAGTCCAGGATAACTCCCAGTTTCTGGGTGACATGGCTATGGATTACTAAGAAATATACACTATATTTAATTAATATTTTAATTTATATAATTGATAGTACATGAATTTAAGATAAAGTATCTTCATGAGAAAATCTTTGTTCCCTTCTATTAAGTGGTTCATAAATAATCCAGAGTTTTCAAACAGTATGTACCTTTCAGATGATAATAACATAAAGTGTGTAGTTTGATGTCGATGATAGTCATGTTTAGCATCTGTGATTTTAAAGTAACCAAAAACAGGTATTGGTTGTAATGGACATGAATGTTGTTATAAATATACACTGATATACATAAAGTATCGTGTTCGTAATTTGTGTACATAATAGACTTATCTAACTAAAATTTTACTTATTAATTTCACTTTTTTGAAACTGACATTGGGCTTTGTGGTTTTGTTTTTTAAATATTTATTTGAACTGCCAGTAAGTTTCATCCTCTAGTCAGGATTTTGTGAGTCTGAGTTGAGTACTTGAGGGTCAGGTGTATGTTAACTTCTGATAGTTTCCTCACATGGAAAGAACATAGGCTTTGGAGTTAGGAGGACCTAAGGTTGCATCTTGGTTCTACTAACTAGCTGTGTGACATTGTACTAGACATAATCACTCTTAACCTGTGCTGGCCAGTGTGGTTGTCACTGGTGACATGTGGCTATTGAACTTGACATGTGGCTAGTCCATATTGCAGTGTGCTTTAGTGAGAGTTTCTCAAGTTTTTTTAATCTACTGATTTGTATTTTTTGCTTGATTCAGTTTTGCTTTTTATTGCTAGTAGAGATTTTAAATCTCACTATTATGATTTTAATTTTCTTACTGTCTTTCCTCATCTTATCCCTCTTTCATGCCTTTTTTCCCCTATCTTGTTTTTTTATTTTTTTGTTGGTGAGGAATATTGTCCCTGAACTAACATCCCTGCCAGTCT